GCAGCTGCTTTTTTCTCCCCAGAGGTGGCTGCACCTTAGTGTTTGTGATCCCTTTGCTTTCACCTTTCCAGAAACCTTGGAGGATTGGTGTGTCAGTGGAATGAGCGGGGCCAGAGAAGGTGCGCCGTGTACTCGCGTGGGAGGGGGTGTGACCAGGACACCTGGGTTCCATTCCCAGGTCTGTCATAGGCAAGCCCTTTCCCATCTGGTGCCTCAGATTCCTGTGCAGGCAGCTCTGAATAACCCAGGACCTTCACCTCCCCTGAGGTCCCCAGTCTCTTTTGGCAGAGGCTTTCTTAGCTTGTGCTGGCTCCAGTGGTCGTATCTGGCGGGGGTTGTGGGGGGGGGTGTAAGCTGGAGTTGGGGTTGGGCTGGCCTCCAGTCCCAGGCTGTTATGCTTTCCTTTGGGGTGTGGGAGGGTGTGTAGGCTTGGGGGCCAAGGAGTGGAAGGCTTGCCACCTTGTGGCTGGAGCCTGTCTGCGTGTCCGTCTGTCCGTTCCTGGCAAACCTTACTTGTGTTGCTCTCTCCCAGGCCCGTTGCACGTTCGGGGGCGTTAACAGGGTTGAGTAATCGGGCTCCGGCTGAGCCTGGCTTGACGCCCAGGGAGCACTTGGCACTAGAAAATATAAACAGTTCTTCCCACTCCCCCTTCCTAGCTCCCTTGGCTGGAGCAGCCTGTGCTGCTTGAACCAGAGGCTGGGGCCTGTCTGTCAGGAACAACAGCAGCCATAGCCCTGGTGGGCGGGGGAGCCTTGTAGTGCCAGGGCTGGAGCCAAGCCTGGGTGCCCAGGCCCAGAGCAGCATGTGCTAACTACTGCTGGCATTGATGGGTGCAGGGTGGGTGCTGCTAGGACTTAAAATAGCCCCAGTGCCTGGGCACAACGGCTGGGCTTCTGCAGCAGTGGTGAGCAGATCCCAAAGAAAGTTGGGATGTCATCACCGTCCCAAGAAAGTTGGGAGAGGTACCACTAGCATAAAGGAGGCATGTATTGCCTGCTCCAGCCACTGCCTTCCCACCTGGGTCTGTTCAGGGCCTCCTGCTTGCTTGTCCACTCTGCCCAGAGGAGAGAACACAGCTCCTTGGGATGTCTGGGTCACTCCTTGAGGATGCAGTGTGGTGAAAGCAATTCTTCTGTTGGTGGCAGTCGCATCACTTGTCTAACCCCTGGATGTCTGGGCTATGGCCTCCCTTACTGGTTGCTATCTGCCTTGTTTAGCACGCATTGCCAAAGCCATGTCTTTGTGTGAACCTGCCTTTTCTTCTTGGGAGAGGCAAGTTGATGGTGCCCTGGACTGTGGGCAGGGGCTTGTGCATTTGGGAGATTGCCAGGAACAGGAATAATTTCGAAGCCCAGCATTGCTCCCCTTGACATGTGGTGTTCTCCTGCTCTCTTCTCCCCCCCCCC